GTCTTGAGCGAATCCAGCGCAAGGCGGCCAGAATCTGCCTCCGTCTCCCCCTTTACACTCCTCTGGATCATTCAACACTGCTCCATCGGCTCAAATGGCCGACAATGTTCTCTCGCCGCAAAGTGAAGCTCACCCTTCTTGCTCACTCCATAAAATACCAATATGCCCCACAACACATACGCTTGCTCAACACCCCCGCTCAAGTTACGGCCCAGTACAGCCTTCGACACGCACGCACTTGGCACCTCCCACCCTCCAGAACCGATCGCTGTAAAGACTCCCCACTGTACAAGTCCCTAGAATACTACAATGCCCTCCCTGCTAGCATTCGTGACATCTCCTCCCAACCTGCTTTCAAACAAGAAATCTGCTCACTGCTGATTAACTCAATCTGCTCCTGCAGCGCTCACCCTCTCCCATACTTGTAAAGTTCAAAGTGATGTAAATCACTTTCCAACTGTTTAACCCTTTGAGGTGCCACTGATTTGGCCAAAAATTCACATTTCTACCCACTCCGACAAGAATCACTGTAACTCCACAACCGTTCAACTTTTATATACACATGAGCACATTTTTCGCATCAGAAAAGAACAAGGAATAGGATGAAAAGATGTCTAGCGCTTTGTTTCCAAGTAATTCGTGAACTTGACAATGTCTGCTACTATTTCAGGTGTGAAAAATAGTTTGAAGACACTCGCCTCCGAGTCGACAACAAACCCAGGAGGCAGTTTTAGTCCAGGTTCACTGGACGGCTGAAACACAGGAATCTGCTGAGGTCCATCGTCATCGACGACATCCATGGACGACAACGGTGCGTAACCAAGTCCAGCACCGCGTCCTCGGCCTCTTCCACGACCTGCGCCAGCTCCGCGACCTGCGCCAGCAGCGCGACCTGCGCGAGCACCGCGACCTGCGCCAGCACCGCGGCCTGCGCCACCGCCACGACCTGCACCACCGCCATGACCCCTCGCTACGGCTGCCTGTCCTTGTCCTCTTCCACCCTGCTGAACACCACGCCCTCCGCCTCTTGGTTGTCCTTGGCCCTGCAACGGAACAGGCTCATCACCAACATCGTCGTCCACCTGATCGTCAGCTGATCCGTCATCGGAACTGACATAGCCGTCAAGCTCTCGGTCCAGCTCTTCCTCTTCGCTCGACGACATGAAGTCGCCTTCAGAAGAGTCAGAGCTCTCAGCAGGCAGAGGCTCATCGTCGGCCTCGAGGTTCTGTAAGAGATTGAGAGCTTGCTCCGCGTCCATTTTCGAACGACAAGAAACAAGTGTGTTGTACTTCGGCAACAAGACATCGTTTCTTTTCCCAAGTATACAGTCAGATGGGGCACGCGGCTTTAGTTTGTATGCAGAGGATGCGCTCCGCTGCGCTTCGCCGCGCGTCAAAACGCTGACTACGATCGAGGATAACTCAATATTTTTAGTACGGACCCCGGGTCTTTTACCCCTTCAGCTTGTTCCCCTATGTATCTACTATGTGTGTGCCAAATCTCAGCCCATTCAGACGATGTACACAAGCGCTGGGAGCATACAACCCACCCCCAGAAAATATCAGTCGTAAATGACTGATGCACCGCAAAGGGTTAACCCACAATCTCACCTTCTCATCAATTTATCTCTTATTGGCGATGGTGCCATCGTGAGAATAAAGAATTCAAACAACAACAACATCAAGAGAACATAGGGGACTACAAAGGGCATGTAGGTGCTATTGAGCTGTGCCGGTGAGGTGAAGTGCGCTCCCCCGACCAATGGTCTCGGGATCAAGGCGCACATCATGCACCATGAGGGAAAGGGAGAGAAGAAAGACTTTGTGTGAAGAGTGAGAACCTGAGAGCCAGACAATCAATGATGGAGGGAGAGAGAGAGATAGAGTGAGGAAGAGATGGGGGCGGGGGTGAGTGAAGAAGGGTGAGTGAGTGAGTGAGTGCCAGATTAGTTCAGGAAACTATGGCAATGGACCAATAGCTGCGTTGTTTTCAGTGGGGGGGGGGGGGCAATACGGAGAAGCTAGATCGGAGCTGCTGCCAGGCAGAGCAGTGTGCAGGCACTGGATCAGCAAGAAAGGGGCCACGAAAAGAAGCAAAAAGGAAAGAAGAGAAGAATGAAACATTAGCGCAAAACTTTCTGCACTGAGGTGTTTCGAGAGCTCTAGGGAGCAAGGTACAGTTCAGTGGGGTGAAGAGGAGGTGATCGTTGTGGGACTGGAGAATGGTACATCGTCAAATTTAGCCATGGAATGCTGTCGCGCACAACAATCCTGGCGCATCAGGTGCTGACAAATGCGAGACTTGAAGGCCTGCATTCCGTTCGATGCAGGAGGTTCCGGGTTGACTTGCTCAGGAATGTCGTTCCATGCCGCAATGAGGGTTCAGGGGAATGGCCTCAGTAGGAAGTTCGGTGCTGTCCGAACAAGTGGCCATTGCAACTGGAAAGGGTGGCGAGAAGCTAGTTGTCGACGGGTTCTAGGAGTAGGTGCAGGCGCCGACGGTGTCGGGAGGAGGGCTGTCAGCTGGGGTGGACCCTTAATGTAATGCAACTTGTACACATATGCAAGCCCTGAGACTGCCCTCCTGAGCTGCAGGCTTTGAAGGATCGTGCCAGGTCCGATGATTAGCATTGCCTTCTACTGCACCCTGTCATAGTGTGCTAGGTGGGATTGGGCTGCACACATGGTGGCTAGGAGCGTACTCCAGAATGGGCCGAATGAATCCCTTATACACGGCAAGGCGGCCCTCATGACCCAGAAGCCAAGCAGCACGGCACAAGAATCCCAGGCTCTGGCCGGCCTTGACAGCGACAGCATCGATATGGTGCTGGAACCCAAGCTTAGAGCCAAATGTGACTCCAAGCAGCTTTAGGTGGTCCGAGTCCGGAAAAATCTCTCCGAATACTTCATTCACCCTTTCTGCGCTTCAGTTTTCGAGCCAGGTTGTCGCCTGAAAGTCGACCTCAAGGGCCGTTTTTTATTTCGATTAACTTCTCAGTGATCTCTTCTGTGATCTTGTTTCGTCGCCCGCCACATCGTGAACGACTGCGAGAGAGATCAGAAAACTGGACGGAGCGATGTTGGTTCTTTCTGCACAAGTTTCTGGATGATGCGTTTGCTGAAATTCTGCCAAGGAAACAGAAACTGCAGCGATTTCAATCCGCCAGGAGGCACTCGAAAAAGATCGCCCGTGAGTTTCTGGTACTCCGTGACAATTCCTCGTCGCATTGGGGTGTTGATTTCACCACCAGGCCTTCTCTGTATTGCGCAAGAAGCAACAGGAGTCTTCTGACGACAAAATTTGGACGCAAAATGCTGGATTCGACTAGGATCCTGAGGCGCTACCTCCTTTGGAGTTGGAGCCATTTCTTCTTTAACATCACAAATCGACAACTAAAGGACAGTGCTAGGCAGCTGGAAAGTTTATTCCGTCCTGAGATTATTTGAATTTGTTTGGTTGACGTTCGAAGCGAAGCTCACATTTTACGAAGTCGGACCAAGTATTGTCTACGCATGCATCTACGCAAGAATCACCACCAGCCTATTTGGACATGTGTCAAAGTATTGAACGTTTTTGTTCCCTTCTTGTCAAAATACTACTGGGAATGATGGAAATAAGCTAAAAGACTACAACTGTAAGGGAAGGAAGTTCAGAGATACATCACTCCCATTATGTGTAGAAGTGACACGAAAAAAAGCGTGGAAATTCAATAAGTGACAAAAACGAAGCGAAAAGAAAAGAGAGAAAATATCAAGACAACTAGCACTGCCCGACAGGTGACGCTTGATTGGTGTGTGTTTTGTTGCGTGGTAGGTCTTTGTTACATCTTGTCGTGTCGGAAGGTTTTCTTCCTGCTCCAAAGAAATCACGTATCACCGAAAAAAGCACGGTTTCAAGTTTGATCCGAAGGTGACAGCCGGAAACCAGCTAATTCACTTCAAGTGATTCTTGCGTGGAAGATGCGGAATTCTGTCCCTGCGGTCAGGTCGTTCCTTGGTGTCTCGGGCTATCGCCGCAGATTCATCCATGCGTTTGCGCAGCGGTCAGCCCCACTGACGGCTCTCACAGGTAAGAATACGCAGTTTCTCTGGAGGAAAGCTTGTGATGCTTCCTTCCGCGCCCTGAAGTCTGCGCTATCGAGTGCTCCGGTTATGGCATTCCGGGATGCCGGCCCCTTCTATCTGAACACACATGCCTCTAAAGTGTCCATTGGTGGTGTACTGAGCCAGGTACAGGACCAGGTGGAACGCGCCATTGCGTTTGGCGGCTGAATAATGACGAACGCGGAGCGTAACTATGACGCCAGTGACCGCGATACCCTGGCCCTTGTCTTCTTCGCAAACCACTTCCAGCATTGTCATACTTGCCAAGCACTGAGAGTGCTTTTTCTGGGTCGCCATGGCAAAATCCCGGGATTTGCCTTGGTTTTTCGGGATATGTCGTATTTTCCAAAAAAAACCTTTTCAACTTTTGATGGCACCAACATTTCGATAATAGATGATTGATGGTGATAATCGGATCACATTTACACATGTTCAAGACTCAAAAATGGAGGTTTTCAGGGACTGTTTATGGAAGGAGCACTGGTACTGCATGCTATGGTGGTCCGGAATCAATAAGGACAACTACTGGCCTGTGACAAGTCATGTGAAGTGCTCCAAGTACAATATCAAGCTTGTTTCTTGTACAGTGAATTTCGGGATAATCGACAGGAATTTCGGGATCGCGGGAGTTCATCTAAAATTGCGGGATAATCCTGAAAAAATATGGATACTTGGCAGGTATGCATTCTCTGCTTGGTCGCGAGTTCACTGTGCGGACATATAATTCTGCGCTAACTGCGTTGCGGGCAACAAAGAAAACAAACCTTTGTTGCCTTTCACCATGAATGATTGTGTTGTTGACAAAGGCGGAAAGACAATACCAAGTCTGTGCAATAGGTCCTGCGAGCCAGACGTTCACCGCACTTTGTTAAGTTATATGTACAAGTGTCTCTTACCTTGAATGCTGATGGAGTACGCTGTTGACAAAGGCTTGACTGCTCCAACACATCGGTCCAGTACATCCTGGGATGGCTGCCTTGCACCTCCAGAAGTATCTACGAATCTACAATTAAAACTGGTCTCGTATGCTGCAGTGCATGTCACATTGAACCTCACACCAGCTGGGTTATCTCCGGTAAGCATTACGCTGGAATCATTTCCCATAAAACTGAAAGTAGAGTTCTCATATTCCAGCAGTCCATTTTGAGATGATCTGTTCACAATTCTTTTTCTAAGATCTAAAGTGGATGTCCAAGTTACACTCATACCTGATGAACCCACAGTATTACATGGTATATCATATCTCTGATCAGTGTAGTTGAAAACCATTGTTGTAGGAGTGACAGTAGTACGACTTTGCTTTGCTGTACATTATCATGGGGATAGAATGTTAATGTTCACACACGGACAACCACATACACACGCACACGCCCCTCCCCACACACACATACACACACACACGCACCCCCCCCCCCCACACACACATACACACACACACACACACACACACACACACACACACACACACACATACACACACACATATGTGTACACATAATAGTACCCAATTCACGGAAAGAACTGTTTCCTCTTTTGTGGACTCATCAGCCTAGCACAGAGAAAGGCCGAGCCAGATTGCAATAACAAATACATTTTCCAAAGCCAGATTTAAACCAGGTCCGAATGTACCTTGCCAGAGTGCTCAATCTGAAAAGTCAGTGAGCTCAGCATAACCCAAACACATGCCGTTCAATATGAACATCTTAATACTCCGAGTTCAGTTGCTACGCAACCTTCCCATGTAGAAGGTAATGCAGGCATGAAAGGAAGACGGCTAAAAGTCTCCCGTAGTCGATACTGGCTCTCAGCCACAAATGCCCTCTAAACCCTCTCTGAACTCCCTGTCCGCTTTCGCACTAGCTCAATCGTATTATTCTACTACAAGTATCACCTTTCCATTTTTTTCCATTTTCACCTTCCATAAAATATACATTCCCCTCCCCAACTTCTACTCCTCCCCACTTTTTGTTGCACGGAAGTGTCGCTAAATCTGAGACCTCAGGTCGGCGGAAATACTCCAGTTTCACCACCACACCTGGGACTGCAGGCACCTAAATAATACAGAAATCTGTTCTCAAATTTCGTAGTTTCTCGTTTAAAAAATCTGGCATAGAACGTAATGACGCGGTGTGCAAACAAGTGTCTAGTTGTGTTTCGTCGTCGTGTCAATAAACAGTGAAAAAAAAAACTTCTAAATGTTATCGTCGTCCCTTGGAATAAGTGTGGAGATGGCACGGGACTGGGAGCAGGTGGAGAAAGGCCAGTTACTACAACTGCACGATGAATTTTAACATGATGCTGCCATGTTATCACGCCTTCATGATTTGCAACTTTTAGGATGCCAGTGTTTCCAATAATTATTAGTTTTAGATCAAGCAATGTTCACTGTATGGCACCATGCAGTATTTCTATGTAAATTCACTTTCAGTGTGATAATGATTTCTGATGAAAAAGGCGTTAAATTCCCTACATACTGCTTTGGGGTGAAGCAAATATTAGCACGTTCGACAAGGTTCGCTCCAAAGTGGATTTGAAAAGAATACAATTTGTTACTAAAGTACTCAAGCATGCAGCTTCACTTGAATTTTATCTGTTTTTCTGGAATGACTGCTGCTCTGCGCCCTTGGTGAACATTACCTGCGCTCGTGGAGCACCTGGAAAGGACCACTAGTATGTCTTGTTCCTGGTTTAAAAGTGGATAGTCGACATTTGTGCCTTGAAAAAAGGAGTATAGTGCAACAATGTACGTCTGTAGCTGATTTTTGGGCGCTCCTCGTACATTTTGATGGTAATAGAAAATTCTCAGACCGAAATCAGCGTGTCCGTGGGCGTACAGTTTTCTTGTGAATTTGTTAGTTATTTCGCCTCGTACCTATGTCAGGTGATATTGAAGTGGACAAGATGATTGTCATCATCTATGTACTGTTCATCCAACTTTGCTCCGTCCTCGTTGAAAAGTGATGCTGAAAAAAGGTCGATTCGCAAAATATGTTGATTTTCATTGTACTTGAGGACGTCACACGACTGTAGTGTTGGAAGAATGCACAAATGCCGGTATTTGCATTGAATGGAAGCGAGGATATGCAGCCATGAGCATAAATTATTAAAAAAACTTGGGGGGGCAGGACCCCTTGTCAAATTTCTACACAAGCCTCTGGCTCGCGATGGTAAAACACAACATGCATAATTATTGCAATCGAGTTGCCCCCCCCCCCCCCACTCATCCGGACAGCTTGTTTATTACGACACATCAGACCTTGCTATCGACCCTCACGATAAATAAACATCAACATGACGTACGAAACGCAAGTGTCCCTGCCGAAACTTCTTTACAAAATTTCCTCACTATAACATAATCCGCAATAGCTTAATTTTCACTATAACACACTGTATCGCAGCGTTCACTTGGTCCATTGCGCACAGAGACGTCAGTAGAACACAAAAATGTCATACTGTCAGGTGTCTTTCCGGGCTGAATCACTTTTTTTTAATGTCGCCTCACGGCTCCATATCCTTGCTTCCATTCAACCAACATACTGGCATCCATGCGTTCCTCCAAAAACTACACGTGTGTGGACCTGGGGCGTGAGGTGTACTTCGAAGTAATGTTTTCAACACTTACTGTAGACACACTGTAGAAGTTATACACACACTCCCTGAGTTGATCAGAGTGGCTCATAAGGCAAGGGTCACACATGCACTTTTGGCGGCGCCACCAAAGCGGTACTTACGCTTCGGCGGAAAGTTTGGATTTCGCCACTCCAAAATTATGCAAGCGGAACCTCTGCATTCGCGGATCCGCTTGGGCGGCACCTGCATGGCGATGACTTTGGAGTTTAGTGTGCATCTTCTGGCATGGACTTCTGGTGTTGTTTGGTTGCCGTTTGGTATTCGGTTTTCATATTGTTCTTCTTTCGCAATGTATTTTATGTTCTGGAGATCTCTCAAACGATACTACATCATTGTGAGTGAATAGTTGGTGAGGAAATCCATCTCACAACTCCTTGGCTGGGATCGTGCATGATATCCAACTCTCTCCTCTCTTATTTCCAAGCAATGCGTCCATCAGAGTATGCAACACTAGGACTGCAACCAGAGTGTAGTAGCGAACTAGTATTCTGCCACACGCTCACATGGAGTCACTGCAACTACAGGCATCCACACTGGGGTCGATGATGGATCTTGGAGGAGGCAATGACACCCTGCAATACAACTATTTGAATTTGATATTAATGTTAGTGCTGAAACGAACATAAAATTAATGAGATTTGAACGTTCTCGATGTTAACGAACGAACGAACGAACGAACATTCTCTAACATTCTCGTCGCACGCGCGTGCTCGCGCATGAACCGGCATAGGCAAGAAAATAGTGGAATTTTGGAATACAGTATAGCAATAAACTTTTGTGGCGCACAAATTTTGCGTTTTCGTGAATGCGGCTGGTTTGTGATCAGAATTTTACCTCTTTTGAATATTGTAGTTGTGCTGTCTGCAATGAACGTACTGAGCAGTTTGTGGCGATTTTTCTTCTCCAGAATGCGCAATGGCCGCGAAAATAGCGAAATTTAATCACTTGCGAAAGTTTCTAACTTTACAGTACGTCTTTTATGATGCTTTCAAAATTTGAGGCACAATGGCCTCCAACTGAGCAATGCCATACTGCTACTGCTGAGGACCAGAACGTTGCGTCACAGCAATGTTTGTCATCAACTTGCTTCCTGTTCAGTGTTGATGCCGTAGAAATAACTGCACTCCCGGAGTCGACAGAAGAATGCTGAAAGTTACCGTAGTTGTGTTCTCAGCTGCGCATAGAGGTTGCTCGCCGGTTTGCGCTACGGGAAATCCTGCAGGTAGCTGACTTCTCATCCTCGGATTTAGTAAAATGATCCCAAACAACAGAACGGGGGGCACGACCGACAACAGATTCTGACATGGGAACAGTGTGAACTCGAAACAAAAGAAAACTACGACATGGTCAAAGGAAAAGCGAGCAGCCAAAATATGTAAGTACATGCACGAGTGCTCATGCTTTGTTCCGATGTTCGTCTACATGTTGTCGACTCGACTCCACAACTCCAGCCAAATGCCGGTTTAGATCGTGAACCGCGCGCGCGCGTGCGGGTCGTGTACCACCTGGCGTAGCGCTGGTCACAAGCACGCAGCTACACATATTCTACAGGCGGTGTGTGAAACGATCATGACTGATCACGATGTTTTTACGGGTTTATCGTACCGTACGCACATTCTCAAAGTTTGAATGTTCGTGAGAACTACGAATGTTCGTTCGCTGTGGCCTAACGAACGAATATTCGAATGTTCGGTATATTCGTATCGCCCCTAATTAATGTAAGAGTTGGTTCACATAAGCAAAATCTGCGCCGCAAGACATCGGCGGTGAGCCAGCTCCCGATCCGTTGCACATACGGTTCGAGTACCAAATCTACTACAAAGTAGTACAGAATGTGCCCCAATGCTACGACAGGTTTGCCAATTGAAGCTTGAATTCTTTATTTCTTCAGTAGTTCAAGGTACATACACAAATAGGAGATCGCCCAGATAGGCGTTAGCCTTTGGGTAATCCTGAAATAAAGATTATTATATTATTAAGGTCTTTCCGTGATCGCCACTCGGTGCTACTTTTACTGGAGATCATGAAACTACTTCTACACATTTTATTGCAGTCTAGTAAGCGATTGTGTCGAAATTATGCTTGCAAACGTTGGTGAAGTCACAAGAACTTGCCAATGTATCCATCATATTTTCTATTTGTTTCAATTGAATTTGTCTCAGAAGTTGCACAATGGTCAAGCAGATCATCCGAGAAGGGCGGGCTGGTATGCTGACTTATTTGCCAACTTGAAGCGACTACAAGAATGGCGAACGGACCTCCTCTCTAGCTTCAATTTAGGAAAACGTAGGACAAGTGTTGGTTTGATATTTTGACAAAGTCTGGCTCTCGGCAGCCGGCGATCACCGGCGCGAACGGTTCACAAACCACTTTTGGTCATAATTGTACGGGATCGGCGCCGGGGCAGATCGCAAGAGTTGGGCACTGTCCAACTTTGCCGGCGGTCCCTTGCGATATTTTACCGTATTATTTTGTTACGACTGCACTGGTTCACACAATCGCAATGCGCCGGGAGAGGTTGCAAGAAGCCCACCGCCGGTGACTCCCGGCGCGTACCGGCGATATGTGAACCAACCCTAAACTAAACTAATATTCAAATACACCCGTACTCTACTAGAACGCATTGAATGTGCCCCAAATCCACGAGTGTTCTTGACAGGAGACATTCAGCAGCCTGTCAGCGATCCACGATAGCTGTACAAGCGAAGATTGCTTCAACTCGGCTGCCGCAGTTACGCTTTTCGCCTCCGCAAAAGCGGTACAAACGTTTCATGTGTGACCGCGGCCTTAGTAGATCAGGATCTCTTCAGTGGTATTCAATAAGCAAAGAGAGTCATTTTGATATGCATGTTGCATATCGGTGTGCCAAGCTTACTACAACAGTCATTATAACTTCGCTAAGCTAAATGTGCAAAGCTGGCAGCGTAACTTGTACATGTAGTTCCTGGGTCCTCATTTCTCCTCGTGAAAGAGATCCATTTGCATTTTGCACTTACCTACAATGTTGAGTTGATATGTTTGTGTTGAGTTGCGATCCACTGTTCTACAATGGTACAGTCCAGTGTGTGACGTGTCCAGTATGGGATGTTCTGAGGGCATCACTGTTAATTCGGAGTGCTCTAACTTAGCCAACACTAGACTACCATCAGTCTTCTCTAGTCGAATCCATGATTTTCGTTCACTGTCCAAAACGCACCACGGTAAGTAATCGGTAACACTGGCTGTAGGTTGTCCATCACCAAATGCCACGTTGAATGGATATGTTTGTCCCGTACCACCAGCAGTTAGAGTGACGGCCTGACCTACATAGGAACAAAAAAGAGTAACAAAAAAACCTAACTCAAAGCAGCACACACACACACATGCCAATAATTTAGCAATAGTATTGCACTGCAAACTTGCCATTGCATATGCTAGTATGCAAACACCACAGAAGAAAACACCAGTGATACTCCAAACACATGAAATGACACTGCCAGATCTAGTTGAATACACTAATACTCTGAAGAAATAATTATTATGATATCTCTTACCATTGCAGTCAGTTAACAATAGAGAATGAATGAGCAGCAGGCTGGCAACCAGTACACCTTAACCACGTAGCAAAAATATATACAAGAAAATACAGTGAAACGTTACTTGTAAGGATGCTGGCAACACACACAACCGTTTAAGAAGAACTACAATATGGATCCTTTTTGGATTACCCTACTCTCGGGATTAGTCCGCCTGGGACACTATTTTACCAATGTCCACCAAAGATGGGGCACTAGTCAAGAGAGAGCTACATTCACGAGAGGGCACTATTTGTTGAATGTCGGTACAGTTGCATCATCCAGCATAAAACGAAGCAAAGCAGAGCCTACAGTTTACTGTAAACTAGTATGATTTAACACAAACGGCAGCAAGAACTGGAATTTTGATCCTGAAACCCACCGGGTGCAATGTCATAGGCGAGAACATTAGTAAAAAAACACCAAACTGTCCCATGCATTTGGTAAGAAGCTGGGGTGGGGTGGGGGGGGGGGGGGGGGGGAGGGCAATATTCAAGAGAGGGCTTGATTTTTCACTGGATCTTAGAGACTGGGGTACTATCCGAGATAGAGCACTGTTCAAGACAGGGCTCTAGTCGTGAGGGTACGATATGCTCGTTGGTTGGAGGGAAAGTTGGCAATTTGAACTCGGGTTCTGAGCGAGAAGTAGATCTAAAAATATGAAAGGGCGCACGAGTATGAATTTTGAGCAATTGTCTACTACTGCTACAAGATAATAAGCAGTCGGGAAGTGCTATAACTAAGCACAAAACCCATAACGCATTCCAGTGTGTTCTTCCTTGTTTCTAAAGGAAAAATCACGCTTTATTCACTGGGTAGACAATTTGGATGACAAGAACCCCCAATTTCAGGGCTCACAGCCGGTATGCCAAAACCTCGATTACGTGGGAGGACATATTGGATCTGATCACCATAGAAACGGGCACGCGTGACTGCTAAGCGCAGGCGTAGCACTCACAGTCGCAAGGAGATTTTGACTTGCTTGGGCTGAGTTGCTGTGACAAGAACTGAGCCGTGGATGGTGAAGGAGACGGAGACAGTTCTCCATTTGTTTCGGTTGTTATTGTTTCCTTCCGAGTGGACTATTTCGCGAGCATTGTTGGCCTCATCGGCTGAATTCTTCCTTGAGACTGTCCACACACGGAGTCCTGCGAGGAGTAGCCCCGAGCAGATTCCTGCATTCGTTGAACACGAAAGAGTTCAACATCTACTGCCCGGCAGCTACGCCGCTAATGCACAGGCGCGGGTGACGGGATCGGGAGAGGGAGAGGACATGCACTCCTTGATGTTGAAGGCATGGAGCAATGACTCACGTAGTGTTCTAGTTTTAGTTTCTCCGCCGTGAAGTCCTGTTGTGTCCAATGTAAATATACGCCTGGTCCGCTGCGAAGAGCCGCGCAACGCATTAGTGACGATGTGGAGTTGTGAATTATTTGATTCGCCACTCCGTTTCGTTGCAAGAGAACACGTCCAGTGGCTTCGCCGTTGTGCTGGCCATGTATTTCTTCAGTCGGCCATAACTCCTGAAGGACACAGCGATGAAGCGCCAGGCGAGTAGCAAAACATTTCGAAAATTTGCCTTGCTGTAGTGTTGTTTCCGCATTCACAACCGGTCCAGCGCGCGCGGTTCTTCCTCGTACCTGTACTGCAGATAGCGTCGCCTTCGAAATGTTCGTTTGTACCCGTCTCTTGCCCGATTTTGATGGCCAATAGCTTAAAATTTTCAGTAGGAAAATTAGAAGAATTTGTCGGAGAGACTTTTCAATTTTAGGACAATAATTCATGTCAGAATTACGCCTGCACCAACTGATACTTTGGCCCCGTATGTACGCCAAACCGTATCGATTAAAACAAAAAACTCTCGGACAAATCCTTACAATGGGTATTGAGAGTATGTTCCTAGAGTTTGAAAGGCCTAGGAGAAAGCATCAGTACAAATGAACATTTTGAATGCACCCCACTTTCAAGCTTCGTGAGATATTTGCCCGATCGCATGTACACGATTCTGGCATACTGCCTGGCTCGCGTGACAGCTCGCGTGACAGCGGCCTGTCCAAAATGGCGCCCACGCTTTTGTACGCGGCTGTGAGCCCTGAATTTCGGGAATAATATCATCAGTCCATTGGTGGTCGTGCTAAAGAGATTTGACAGTAGAGCGAAGCCACTAATGCCACTAGAAACCTCTACAGCCATGGGACGGAAATGAATTTCGTCTCGTTGACAAGGATTCCAACGTAGTTAGAAATTTAACTGAAATCCTAGGCATCTTAGGATAATAACTTTTTTTCCTGTACCGTAGTTCCGCACATATAAGCCCACGGGCAAATATATCGGGTTTTTTAACCCTCCACTTTCTTGTTTTCTGGCTCATCAACAAGAACAGCTCGTGCCGGTATTGTGAAAAATATACTTGACAAACTGGTCCGTAACGGTGTTTGGGTCTGTTTATTAGCCCATGGGCCTATAAACGGAGGTGGGCTTATATCCGGATATAGACCTGTGGGCTTATATGCGCGGAACTACGGTATGTGTATTTGCCAAAGCAGTCTGAATGTCGCCTTTCCAAGCACTAGTTTACACGCTCAACTCCCAGATTTAGCAAAGATAATTCGACAGGATATAAAGCATCGATTTTGGAAAATTTGCGAATCCTGCCGGATGGCTGAAAACCATCCGACAATCACATGGTAGGTATGGTGATTGGTGATCAACAATTTTTCTGTGGTCTGAATTTTTCAAAATTTAGACGGATGTGGTCTGGTATTGTAGTATCCCTGCCCGACCAATACGGAAGCAGTAAGGAACTAATACGGAACGACCTTATGTTGTATCTCCGCATATAGGCGTACGGCGCCTGCTGCATAAAAGCAGCTGCGTTTTTCTGTTTTAATTAGATTAGATTAGATAGCAATGAAAGCTAACTCGAAGAAGAAGAAATCAGCCTCTAGGTGAGCACCGGAGAGAAAGTTATTTATTTGCCGCTTCTTCTTTCACTAATAATTATATCTCAGGTGTGTACCTGAGAGAAGTAGAATAAAAATGACTGGAGCTCCAGTCTCTCCGGAGGCGTGGGTTCGAATCCCACCGCTGCCACCAATGTAATGGGTAGCCGAGTGGTAGGCGCGGTGAAATCAACAAGAATTAGTTTTATTCTACTTCTCTCAGGTACACACCTGAGATATATTTATTAGTGAAAGAAGAAGCGGCAAATAAATAACTTTCTCTCCGGTGCTCACCTAGAGGCTGATTTCTTCTTCTTCGAGTTAGCTTTCGTTGCTATCTAATCTAATCTAATTAAAACAGAAAAACGCAGCTGCTTTTATGCAGCAGGCGCCGTACGCTTATATGCGGAGATACAACATAAGGTCGTTCCGTATTAGTTCCGTACTGCTTCCGTATTGGTCGGTCAGGGATACTACAGTATGTCTCTGCATGAGAATTGCTAGTTGGCATCTGACAGAGATGCCAGGCAGTCACACTGTGCGTCTACTACTTACACAGCTGCATAATGCCGTTTTCATCCCGTAGCTATACAGAAGACGTTACTTCAGTAACGTCTGGCGCTAGCCAGGGTCCACACAGCTTTAATTTGGTATTTGTGTGTTTGTTTGTGTCACGCCTGGCTATCCGTATCTGACGGCAAAAAAGCATAGGCTGTTATAAATTTTTCACTTCTCCTATTTTTTTTTCAGGCATATCCTGGGATTCGAACCCGCACTATCTCCCTACATGCATTCCCCCATACACATGAATATTGCGGGCAGCTGTATGTGGCCAGCTGTGTTTGATGGTGCGGTACGGTACGGGAGACAGTGTCGTATTACCCTCGATCGTACCTGTCCCGTACCTATCCCCTACCGTACCGTACCATCAAAGACGGCTGGCCACAATGCATATTCAAGTAGGGCTTTCAAATGCAAGATTATAACGTGAAGCAACTTGGAAGAATTAGTATGTATGCGAAGTGTATCGGGGGATGCATGCAGGGCGCGCGATAGTGCGGGTTCGAATCCCAGGTTATGTCTTAAAAAAAAAGGATTTCTTAAAGAATTTATAACATCCCTTTTTTTGTCTAGGTCATCAAGGCAAAAAAGCATAGCGTAGGGCCCTGAGCTTCCAAGCTCTCTCGTTTTTATTTTACTATTATTGTTTTTTCGGCAACGCGGATGATGATGATGATGATGATGATGATGATGATTTTATTTTTATTTTTTATGAAGCCACTTCTTTGGGCAAACAAAACACAATTTCCCAAGATGAAGGAGTGGAACCCTACACAAATAATAGTTTAAATGAATCCAACGCAAAGATCGTTTTTCCATGAAATACAACAATTGAACACAATTACATGCTTAAAGGCATGAAAGCAACAAAACAACAACAAAAGGGTAAGCGCCATACCAATCCCGCATGCACAGTCAGGACACAGCACGATACTTAACAAACTAGACCTGACTCGGCCACGGCAATCGAGACATCATGAAAACATCTCGCCGGATGGTGGTACCGTGACCGAGCCCCACGTATGCACAACACAGCAGCACGCAGCAAAGCAAAAGACAGCCGACAGCGGAGTAAACCAATGACCTGGGAATAGTGAGATCCCGATGACTCGGCCTGCATCTGGCACAGTCTCTTGAGGAACACATTGCACAGCCTCCCACAACCACCTTGCACAGAGAACACGAGAGGTGTGAAAGCGGCTCTTTCTACATTTGTGACTCTTGGCCCATATTCGTTCCACTTACGCCGCTCGTGCTGCTGGTACAATGCAGGAAGGGTTCTGGACCCGTAGGAAGGAGCATCTGGGCAAAATACCCTTACATCAAAAAAAGCTTCCTCCCCACGGGTCCAAAACCCTCGAGCGGCTATGTCCAGGCGCGCATCCTCTCGGCGGTTCGTTGACCGAAGAGGAAACCTCTCACCAGAAAGAGGTTGCAGCGCTGGTTCTGTCGAAACGGCAGTGCAGACTTCAGTCAATTCCCTCGCCAGCAGGTCACGTATCTCGTTATGACGAAGTGTCGGGAAGCCGCCCCTGGCGCAACATAGCTGATGCTCAACTGAGAACAGCTCACCACACACACAGGTTGCTGGTGAGATGATGATGATGATGATGATGATGATGATGATGATGACCGCTTTCTCAAGTGTCTTGCAGCCCAGTATGTCGATAAACACAGTGACTTGGCCTACTCGCTGGTTATGGGTCGATTGCGGTGCCTGCTCTCCTTCACTTTACTCCGTTGGGCAGTGACCTGTTTTCGTGGCTGCCGTAGCTCCTACCAGAAAAAGTCAGTCAAGAATTTCAGGAGTTATTGTTTGATGGGTCGTTAGATAGAGGCCGGTGTTTGTGAGACTGCAATCATTTAATGTTTCTTCCTTAGTGGTGTAGGTAGATTCTGTTTTGTAAGCATAGTAGGACTACTTTTGTTTTGTAAGTCAATCTCATTCTCCACGCTTTGCTGTCATTTGGTTATGTTTTAAAGTAGTTTTTATGACCTGATGTTTGTTTTTTATATTTATAGTTCTATTGTTGACATTTTTTGTCTTTTCTTTGGGTTAAAAGGTTAACTTCATCCTCGTTTTCTTATTGCCTTGTATTGGAATTTGCCCATAAAAGTGGCTACGGTGTGATAATGCATTTTTATATTTCGTGTTTTAACATTATTTTCAGAAAATTGCTCTTACAATACCTTGCGTTTTATATTCATAATATTGTTGCCCGTAAAAGCGGCTTGGTCACATGATGATGATGATGATGATGATGATGATGACGTTGATGTGTACGGGTGTCTTAAGTTTTTTATGTTTGTTTATGTTTGTTCTTTTATTTTCCATTCTTTTATTTTCCATTATGAGCCGGTCTTCTCCGATTGGTGGCCCCATGCCCCATGCTCATTGTGTTCAACTGCACTTTGCGTTCCTTTCTATATTGAGTTCTAGTGCACTTTGAGTTCATTTTCCTCTCTTTTTTCATTCTAATTGAATTTTGATGTATTGCGTTTTTGCTTGCCCGTACAAGAGGCTGTTCAAATGATGATGATGATGATGATGATGATGATGATGATGATGATGATGATGATGATGATGATGATGATGATGAAGTAGTGTTGGAGACAATTTCTTTCATTTTCGACCAATGAAAAGTTTTCAAAAAGATCAGTAAAACAGTGAGCATAACCCGAGTAAAGTTCATGTCCGCTGATTTCAGTGTTTTGCGATCTGAAAATGAGGATTCCGTGCATTGCCTTATGCACTGTGTGAGGCTTGCAATAAATTCAATTACAACCTGCAGAGATCATCAGATTCATATAGACCATCGGACCCAGATGAACCTACCTGCAGAATGGTCAGAGACGGCCATGATAGAATCCTTGAAGAAAGAGAGGAGGCAACGAGGATGGTGGAAAAACCTTGAAGCGATCCAGACAACAGAAATTGTATGTACAAACGGTAACACACATGCCCACAGCCATGTGTGCAAACACACACACACACACACACACACACACACACACACACATACACACACACATACATACACACACACATACACACACACACATACACACACATACCCACACACACACACATACACACACACACATACACACACATACACACATACACACATAAACGCACCTGTGCAAGCACACACACACACAAATGCATATGCACACATACACATACACATGCACATACAGTGTGGTGCCCACATGCACACATAAAAAAAGATTTACACCCAAAACAGCGTAGTGTTATACGCCACGTGCTCATATAAGCACCCCCAGTATGTGACACTGTGTAACCAGACTCACAACAGCTCGTCTCATCTCTTGCATGCCCCATTTTGACGCGACCAATTACGTTTAACTTCCAAATATAAGCCATCTCATTGAACATGTAACTCATAATGTGTACGTTATTCCCGTAGCTATGCAGAAGACGTTACTTCAGTAACGTCTGGCGCTAGCCAGGGTCCACACAGCTTTAATTTGGTTTTTGTGTGTTTGTGTCACGCCTGGCGCTATCCCGTATCTGTCCCGTACCGGTTATGCCTTTTTTTCAGGCATAACCTGGGATTCAAACCCGCACTCTCGCCCTACATGCATTTCCCCATACACTTCGCATTCATACTCATTCTTCCAAGTTGCTTCACGTTATGATCAAATCGCTCCACCTCAGTACCTTCCTGCTACCAGCGCCACGAACGGGAGAAACGCCGCTGCTTTGAGGAGCATGTTCGAGAGATCGAACATGCAACTTTTTCACCTCTCGTTCTCTCCTCAACAGGCGGCATGGGCAAGTCGGCAACAGCCTGCTATAAGCGGATTGCCGGGCTCCTGTCCGACAAGACGAAGGAGCCGTACAACCGAGTAATGGCGTGGATTCGCTGCCGACTTGGCTTTGCTCTGGTTCGCTCCAGCATGGTTTGTTTGTGTGGTGCTCTGCGACGCCCCTTGCGTGTCAGCGATGTGGTGGATGCATCTGCTACCTTGGCCGTTGCCGAGGCCCGCTGCCCTGTATAACTGACTGCAAGTGGTTCCTAAACCAGTTCCTATTCCTAATTGTTGCTTCTTCGTTCCCCTCTAGTTTTCTTTTTATGGTATTATAATTTTACGGAGAAGGGTGGAGAGCCCGAAAGTGTGCAGTTATATTTTTATTATTTGCCATGGCAACCCCTGTAAGTTCAAATAACTGGCAGGGCAGGGTTGCGCCCTTTTCTTTCTTCTCGGATTTGTATGATGTCAATAAACTGTTGAAATATAAAAAAATATAAAATTAAAAAAATGTACAGTGCAGTGCGTACTAGTACACAGCATGCCAGGACTGTACAGTGCAGTGCGTACGTAGAGGATATAACCCGAGTCAGAGGGTTATACCGCTTGAATATAAATCCCGACTGCGATAGCAGGAGGGATTTTTATGAGGGTACGGTATAACCCGACTACGAGGGTCATATCCTACTTATGCCAGGTACCCCTATGCATTTCCAGAACAACGAACCTATTTGGAGATCTCCCACATCATACAGTACATGGACATGTTCTGCTGTTTATCAGTTGTCAATTGAAAGAATGGTCGAGCAAGGTCAGAAGGAGATTCCTCAGTGGATGTTTGGCATCAGATTTCCTTTCAGTTCCAGTGCATATTGTAGCATATTGTCTTGCGAGCGATGCGGAAGTCAACTGAATTGCTGGGGTGCTGGAGTTGTCGTTGAATCAAACTACCGTCACTAGTTAGACTACAGTACAGTTTGGACTCTTTGGGAGTAAGTGTTACTATTGTCATGATTATGGTACAGTGCTGATTTTCACATGCGGCATCTTATAATCAGGTTTGCTTACTTGCAAGTAGATGCATTTGCATACACTTTTTTGTATCACTGTATCACATTTCAATCCATTCTAGCGTTTTTCCAATCGGTTTAGGTGGATTTGAAGTACACTCTGTATCATAAACATAGTTACGAAGGAGACAGTCTGTTGATGATCTTCAACTATTTGAATTACAATGTACATTGCTGACCAATTCGGGATACTTCGTGGTTATTTGACGTTCTTTATTCTCAGTTTCAGTATAATATATGTAGAATACTCGGTAGATGAATTCCAGGTCATTCTTCTTTTCCATTGTGCACTGTTCCTCGTCGGTAATGCCGTTCTGTGTGGAGTGTACACGTGCATGTGGTGTATGTTGTGAATGGTCAGTGCGCTGGAGTGCTGCCGTCGTACAAGTTCACTGCCTTTCAGGCAGTGAACTTGTACGGTGGCAGTGCCCTAGCGTACGTACCGTGCACCGGGATTTATATTCAATTTATACCTCACTCCATATACACCCACACTCATATACCAGATCTCCCATGAAGTTTATAAATTTCCATATACACTGTTCAATATACACCACTAAGGAGGTATATAAACCACTGAGGAAAACCATCAGAAAAAAACTCACTGAGGAGCTTTCTTTCTCTAAAAAGGAGTGTATATAGCTTTCTTTCTCTAAAGCTATATTCACTCCTTTTTAGGGAAAGAAAGCTATATTCACTCCTTTTTGCTCTTGAGCTTGCGCATGGAGAGGTATAAATATATTATAACAAGGGACCTCGTGTATATCGAGAAATATCGACCAGTTATAAAAACCTCGGCTTCGCCTCGGTTTTTATGCTGGTCTATATTTCTCGATATACACTCGGTCCCTTGTTATAATATATACACAAATCCCGCGTGGGATTTATACTGGCCAATATAACCATGGCTAGACGAGCGTTGATTGGCTGAAAACAGGCCCTCCGCACCGTACCATGGTATAATAGTACACAGCATGCCAGGAATGTACAGTGCAGCCGTGTTTGTACATCATGCATGGCTGGCCGGCCAATGCGCGCATATGCATGCATAGAATTTAAAAATAAAAATCGTCCGTGCGCCGCCAAAAATCGATGCGCGCGCACTTGACAATCAAAGATAATGTCCAATGTAAATGGCACATGAACCTACTATTTACTATTACAATAGTACAGTATAATCTCCATTATAAGCCCAGCACTTATATTTTTTCAACCAGTCCGGACCCTGGGCTTATATTGGAGACTGGGCGTCTACTAGAGACTGGGCTTAATATTTTCCAACCACCTGCTACATGAACATTGCCTAATATTTTTCATTCCCGTAGCTATGCAGAAGACGTTACTTTAGTAACGTCTGGTGCTAGCCAGGGTCCACACAGCTTTAATTCCCGTAGCTATGCAGAAGACGTTACTTCAGCAACGTCTGGCGCTAGCCAGGGTCCACACAGCTTTAATTTGGTGTTTGTGTGTTTGTGTGTTTGTGTGTTTGTGTCACCCCTGGAGCTACCGTATCTGTCCCGTATCTGTCCCGTATCTGTGATTTGGTGTTTGTTTGTGTGTGTTTTTGCCACGCCTAGAGCTACCGTATCTGTCCCGTATCTGTGACTACAAAGGTTCTACAGGATTGTACATAACAGCTGGCCACAAACAGCTGGCCACAATATTCGTCGTATTATGTTTACGACTCCCTGATGTAGAGGGAGATTTGCAAAGAAAATTAATAGGGAGACGAGGAGGAAATAAAATTAGAATGGACGCTAGTTGCGGAATAGGTGATAGGATGCGTCAGCAAAAACATACTTTGGAAGAGAGATCCTTTGGAAGAGAGATCCCGTCGTCTCCAAAATAAGCGTGAACGGGCGATTCAGCGCCGGTCACAGGAAATGTCGGAAGAGAGATCCTGTCGACTCCAGAACACCCGTGATCGGCAGAGTCAGCGCCGGTCCCAGGAAACGTCAGGACAGACGCAGAATCGACTCCAAAATAAGCGTGAACGGGCGATTCACCGCCGGTTACAGGAAACGTCGGAAGAGAGATCCCGTCGAGTCCAGAACGCCCGTGATCGGCAGAGTCAGCGCCAGTCACAGGAAACGTCAGGACAGACATCTTGTCAACTCCAAAATAAGCGTGAACGGGCGATTCAGCGCCGGTCACAGGAAAAGTTGGAAGAGAGATTCCGTCGAGGCCAGAACGCCTGTGATCGGCAGAGTCAGCGCCGGTCACAGGAAACGTCAGGACAGACATCAGGACATTTTTTGCCTACCTCATTGTACATGTTACTAGAATTGATGGAAATGTTTTTTCCGTTGATTGGCTACATCGTTGTATTGCAAAAACGTTTCAATCAGTATGAATATGAGCTAGGCAAAAGTATTGCGTATTGTTATTTTTCTCTCACTTCATCCGCTTTCGGTTTGCTCCTTCTTTTCCTTTCTATCTCCATAAAATCGGATTTTCTGGCCTTTTTACATTAAAAGCATAGCGTAGGGCCCTGAGCTTCCAAGCTCTCTCGTTCCCTTAGCTATGCAGAAGACGTTACTTCAGTAACGTCTGGCGCTAGCCATGGTCCACACAGCTTTAATTTGGTGTTTGCTTGTTTGTGTGTTTGTGTCACGCCTGGCGCTATGCCGTATCTGTCCAGTACCATACCGTACCATCAAACACAGCTGGCCACATACAGCTGGCCGCAATATTCAAATAGGGCTTTCAAACGCAAGATCATAACTTGAAGCAACTTGGACAAATGAGTATGAATGCGAAGTGTATGGGGGAATGCATGTAGGGCGATAGTGCGAGTTCGAATCCCGGGTAATGCCTGAAAAAAATAGGAGAATTTAAAAAATTATAACATCCCTTTTCTTTTTTTGCCGTCATCAAGGCGGTAGACGGTCTGTATTACCCTCGACCATAACTGTCCCCAGGGATGAATTTATCCGGTATCGCATCGCAGTTTGCGATTCAACATCGATCAAGTGCGACTCAAAAATCACAGCGACTCGCAGGAAACTGCGATGCATAAACAGCACTGCATACTAGCTCGCGCAGTCAGTAAAAGTGATGCTG